TTGTTGCCAATGACGTTTACATCAAAGGTCGGAGGAGTTCTCTCGATGTTCGGTCGAGGAAGTATCTCCTAGAGACAAATTTGTTTCCTCCTTTCTTTTTTGTGCTCACTAGATTTGATAGGACATCAGCCCAGACGTTGTGTTTACGAGGAACATGCTTCACTTCTACGCACGTGAACTTCGTCATTTTTTCTTTAACTAGAGTCAATTATTCGGAGAGGTTATCGTTTTTGGCCTGATATTCTCCCCGTACCTAGAAGGATACGAGCTGAGAATCTATGCAGATTATGACTTCCTTGGCTCCTACGTCCTCGACGAGGCGTAGGCCTGCAAGGAAAGATTTGTATTCTGCCTGATTGTTAGAGGTGGGGAAAGACAGAGCGAGTAAGACCTCGACGAGGATACCTTCCTCGTTTTCTAAGACGATGCCTGCTCCGCTCCACATTGAAATGGACGCTCTGTCGATAAAGATTGTCCACTTGCGAGCTCCGCAAGTCAAGGAGGCAACCAAAGTCATCTTTGCCACAAAGTCCGCCAACACCTAAGCTTTGAGGTCCTTTCTTCTCTCATACTGGATGTCGAACTCGGACAGTTCTAGGGACCATTTGAGCATTCTACGGACCATGTCTGGACATCCCAACAGTTTCCTTACGGGCTAGTCTGGTTGCACCACGACAACGTGTGCTAGAAAATAATGTCTCAGTCTCCTCACTGCATTGATGAGGGCCATGCCTACTTTTTTGATATGCTAATTGTAATACCCTAATTTTTACCCCTAAGATCCCACATTTCATTGGCATCATTTGCATACACAAACAAGATCATACTATGTGGTTCTCACACCCCTGTTGTTTATTACTTGCTTTATGTTTGTTTCTATTTACTAACCTCTAATCAAAATACCAAAAATATTTTGCAATATTTTGTTTGTTTTGTCTTCTCTATGTGATTAAGGTTTTGCAGGATGATTTATGACAAAGGAATGACCTGGAATCAAGTGTGACTATTCATGTGCAGTTAAGGTCAAACTATCAAGAGATTAATTCATTTGCAAGTATATGTATCAGTGGGCTATTTTTCTCAAGAAATGTGAATGTTCAAGGCCATGTTGTCTCGTGCTAGAATTCATCCGGCTATCAAGAAGTGATTTATGAGATTCAGAAAATTATGAAAAGTCCAAATGGATTCAAATGACAGGTTCTTTAGTTGTAAAGCTTTTCAGTGGTCCAAGATTGGTTCATTCATTTTATCAAAGATTGATGAAGAAATCTCAAGTGTGGATTTTGGGTCAGATTTGATCAAGTCAATAGGTGGTATCCGTAGTGCAATGAGTTTGACAGACATGTTTATCTCAGTCTTTCATTTTTTTTGGGCGTCCGTTGTTTCAGAGGATCTTTGGGTTTGCTGGCATGATCCTTGTTTTATGGTCTCCTGTTTCTATTCTGTTCCTTCCTACAATTGTTCAGGGTTGGACAACAAACAGTCCTTCCATAATAGCCAAGTGTGTCTGCTATATTAATAGCATTACAAAAAGAACTTGACAGTTTATATGGCTCAATGGAAAGTGGTGACAAGGAGGTACCAACGACTGTTACTGTTGAAAAATTCCTTTTCATTGGGAGGCTATTGTTTGCATTCCAAAACCATTCTAAACATATACCCTTGATACTTGGGCCAGTGGGAATGCATCTACAGTTGGGAAATTACCATCTCTGGTGAAACATTCTCGTTTTGGATCTGATTCTGCTATCTGTGATAATCCAGGAGACAAGCAAGCAAAGACCGAATGATGGCTTACATGAATATGGACGAACGCTCGATAGGAATGTTTTGGGTTGTGACCTACACAATGGCACAACCTGCTCTTGAAACAGTAATGAATTGGTTAACTTCTCCTGGAGTTATTGACTTACTACCTACAACAAATCTACAACCAGCTGAGAGATTAGTTTGTACACGAGAAGTGAGCCCATTGCCTATATCATTGTTATCGGAACTTATGTTTGAAACTGTCTTATCAAATGGAAGATTCTCTATTTTCTGGGCAGGCTATACCCAGCATTGCCATGGTTGAAACTTATACCAGATTTCTGCTTATTGCACCTCATTCACTATTCCGTTCCCATTTCAATCATTTGGTGCAAAAAAAAAAATCCTTCTTTGTTGAGCAAACCTGGCGTAACACTTTTGGTGCTTGAGATATTGAACTACCGACTACTTCCACTTTACAGGTATCAGGAAAAAAGCAAAGCCTTGATGTATGATGTCACAAAGATAATTTCTGCTCTAAAAGGAAAACGGGGAGATCACCGTGTATTTCGATTAGCTGAAAATCTGTGCCTGAATTTGATATTCTCATTGAGAGATTTCTTTTTTGGTTAAAAGGGAAGGAAAGGGCCCAACAGAATTTACGGAAACTTTGAACCGAGTGACGGTTATAACACTTGCTATACTAATTAAGACCCGCGGGATTGCAGATGCTGATCACCTGCTTTATCTTCAAAACATGTTGGATCAAATAATGGCAGTCAGCGTACATACATGGTCAGAAAAAAACACTACGATACTTCCCGTCTGTTATGCGTGAAGCATTGAGTGGTCGACCAGATAAAAGGAGCCTTACAATCCAAACATGGCAGCAGGCAGAAACAACTGTTATACACCAGTGCACCCAGCTTCTTTCACCTTCGGCAGATCCTAGTTATGTTATGACCTATATCAGCCATAGTTTCCCCCAGCATAGACAATATTTGTGTGATGGGGCATTGATATTAATGCACGGCCATGCAGAAAACATTAACAGTGGAAACCTGGGACGCGTACTGCGGGAATTTTCTCCTGAAGAAGTGACATCCAACATTTATACCATGGTTGATGTTATGCTTCATCATATGCAAATAGAGCTTCAACAAGGACACTTGATACAGGACCTTATGTTAAATGCGTGTGCAAGCCTTGCCTTTTTTGTTTGGACAAATGAGTTACTTCCCTTGGATATCTTGCTTCTTGCACTTACTGACCGTGACGATGATCCACATGCTTTGCGTATTGTGATCAGTTTGCTTGATAGGCAAGAACTTCAGCAGAGAGTTAAACTCTTTTGTTTAACTCGTGGTCCCCCTGAACATTGGCTTCACACAGGCGTATTCAAGCGGGTTGAGCTACAAAAAGCCCTTGGAAATCATCTTTCGTGGAAGGATAGGTATCCCGTGTTCTTTGATGATATTGCAGCACGCTTGCTTCCAATCCTTCCCTTAATTATTTACAGACTTATTGAGAATGATGCAATGGATACAGCAGAGAGACTACTGGCTCTATATTCTCAATTGCTTGCTTATTACCCTCTAAGATTTACATTTGTTCGTGATATACTTGCATATTTCTATGGTCATCTTCCTGGAAAACTCATTGTTCGAATACTCAATGTACTCGACATTAGTAAGATTCCCTTTTCAGAGTCATTCCCACAGCAAATAAGTTCGTCAAATCCTGCCATGTGCCCTCCTCTGGACTATTTTTACTACTCTATTGTTGGGAATAGTAAATAATGTAATTCCTCCATTACATAACAATTCAAAATCTGTAACCATAGGAGATGCATCAAACAGTGCACTGCGTACTGCCCAAAACAAACCACCGGCAGTATCTCAGTCTGGATTACCAAATGCTTCCGAGAGCCAATTCTACCAAATTCAGGATCCTGGCACATATACTCAGCTGGTTCTTGAGACTGCTGTCATTGAAATACTGTCCCTTCCTGTGTCTGCTTCTCAGAACGACAGTCACAGAAACAACAGACTCCACATTCTCATCCTCACAAGCAAGAGACTGAGGCGAGTGGAAAGAGTGACAGAGCTAGTAGTGGAAACAATGCAAGTAGCAGTAATGCAGATGCAACCTTGACTTATGGTAGAAAGCATAGTAAACGATTGTCTTCTAAAATTGCCAATCTCTCGCCTGCAAGAGACTCGGGAGACAAGTTCATTCAAGACAAGGAGAGTAGAAAAGATTCTGATGCTGAATATTTTGAGGACAATAATAATGCTGGAAGCTTGACAGAAACTCTTCATAGTAATAGGACTGAAGTTGAATCCTCAGCTACAATGAACTCTAGAAATGTTGAGGGATCTTCTGAGACAGACAATTCATGCTCTAGTGCTGTATCTCAAACTGAAGTTAATTCAAAGGAATTCTTGCTGATGGAAACTCAGGTGAACACAGGAATATAAGTGAGCACTTAGAATCAGAAGGTCCTGCAAAGATGGTTTCTGAAGCACCCAATTCTGTTTCTGGGGAGCTTATACCAGCCGGCAACACAGAATTGAGCAACCAAGGAGGGGTTGAACCATGTTTGTCTTCTGGTGTTAGGTCTTCGGTATGTGAAGTAAGTCCAGTTTCCGAACCTGTTGTTCAGACGGTTGCTGATCCAATCTCATCCAAGTTAGCTGTTGTACATCATGTTACCCTTGCGCGTGAGTTTCTTGAAGGAAAGGGAGGTCCACAGATTTCCTCTTGGGAGGCAAGTTTGTGTAATGAAGTCGAAGTCATCTCTATACCAGATGATCATTGCACCACATCTGACAGCAATATTTCAGAAAAAACATTTTAAGGACTTCTCGAGTCCCCAGATGCCAAATGATGTTAAGACTGAGAAAGATGTCTCTAGTTTTTCTGACTCTGTTGCACTAGAAAGTCAGTCGTTATAATTGGAAGCAGAACCTTTTAGTAGGGGCCATGGATCTGAATTTCTTGACATGGAAAATCATGGAGGAACAATCCATTAGGAAAGCAAGTTATGAGAGAAGGGAGCAACCTGCTTTGGAAGACATGTATGGTGAAGCTTCCCATTCTAGTCTCCAGGTGCCAATTGATGTCAAGAGTGATGAAACTGTATCTAGTTGCCCTTCTGATTATGTTGCACCTGCAAGACACCGAACTCTGATTCCACTCAAACGCACACAAAACTGCAAACAAACAGTTCTCTACGACGTCGTTTACTCATGGCGCTTTCCGCCTCCGACGTGCCGGCAATGTACTCGCTCCTCGCCAATTCTATGAGCGCCGATCACCGCCTCCGTGCCCCTGCCGAGGAAGCCCTTGCGCAATCGGAGTCTAGGCCTGGCTTCTGCTCATGCCTCTTGGAACTGATTACTGCCAATGATTTAGCGTCACAAGTTGATGTACGCTTAATGGCAACTGTCTATTTCAAAAACAGTATTAACCGCTACTGGCGTCAGCGCCGGGATTCTTCGGGAATTAGCAATGAGGAGAAAACGCATTTGAGGCAGAAGTTGTTGATGCATTTGAGAGAAGAGAGTGATCAGATTGCTCTAATGTTGGCAGTGCTAATATCCAAGATTGCTCGCATTGATTATCCCAAAGAATGGCCAGACATCTTTTTGATTTTATCACAACAACTTCAATCAGCAGATGTTCTTGCCTCCCACCGAATCTTTATGATTCTATTTAGGACCTTAAAGGAGTTGTCTACGAAACGGCTCACCGCAGACCAGCGCAACTTTGCAGAGATATCATCCCAATTCTTTGATTATAGCTGGCGCCTCTGGCAAAGTGATGTGCAGACACTACTGCATGGTTTTTCTGCTCTTTCTCAAAACTATAATTCCAATGCTGATGATCAGCATCGCGAACTTCATCTTACATGTGAAAGATGGTTGTTATGCTCAAAGATCATACGACAATTAATTATTTCAGGATTTCAAAGTGATTCCAAGTGTTTTCAGGAGGTTCGGCCAGTCAAGGAAGTCTCACCTGTTCTCTTAAGTGCCATTCAATCATTTCTTCCATATTATTCGTCTTTTCAAAAGCAATATCCTATATTTTGGGACTTCGTAAAGAGGGCATCTACCAAATTGATGAAAATTTTAGTTGCCATTCAAGGAAGGCATCCTTACTCCTTTGGGGATAAATTTGTGCTTTCATCAGTCATGGACTTCTGTTTGAATAGAATAACAGATCCTGAGCCAAATCTATTGCCATTCAATGTATGGTGATGATTAAGAATATTCTGGAATGTAAGGAATACAAGCCATGACTGCCGACGGGGAAAGTTATTTTCCAACTCTCTCCAGCAAAACTAACCCTTTGGAAGCTCAAGTTCCTCCTTATGATATTTTTTCCAAAAAAGAGATGTCCAGATTTTTGGAAAGTAAAAAGATTTCAAAACTCACTTCTTCCATTAATCAATTCAAAAGGCTGGAATGCTTGCCAGATTCAAGGAGCATGCATAATAGAAGACTGCAGGGGCAAGTGATTATCAACAGTGGTCATAATCCTGAACCTAAAACTGTGGGTCCAGCAGGAAGTTCCAATAGGTCAGCTCAGATTGCAGTTGGTAACAAGTTGAAGTTAGTGAATATGAATACATCCAGTTCTGTTAGGACAACAGTAAATGCTTTTAGTGAAAGAGAAATGTATTGCATGCCTGATGCCAACGATATTGATGATACAACTAACTCTCAAACGATTTTAGTCGATGAGGATAAAGCAAGGGATGAATCTTGTTATTACAGAAGTGAAGTGTCTGGGCTTGCACTGGGCCGTATTCCCAAGACGGTTTCAAGTCACATGTTGAAAGTGATCCACGTCACGTACTTGAAAATGAGCTGAAATCAAAAGCAAAAATCCACGTCATAACTCAGTGAGCTGAAAGTGTAAAAAGCAAAACGACTTGAAAAAAAATTCACAATCACAGGTCACGCATAACTTGAATGACCAAAACGCAGAAAAATCCCAAAACGGCAAAACTTTTCACTCACTCTCAATCTATAAATACCACACATACCTCATTCATTTCTTCAAGCTTTGAAGCCAAAATCACTCTGACATTTTTTCTCCTCAGTTCCCCTTCAAACTTCACCTTCGAAATTCATCCTCAACCATTCTTCAAGCTTCACCCAATTCAACTTTCCACATAAAATCTCACTATACTTCAACTTCATTCAACAACCACAATAGGATTGGCATTCACAAAAGCAAGAAGAAGAAGATTGAAGCTAAACTCTCCATTTTCGAAGGTATTAGAGCTTTGCCGATAAACTCTCGTCTCTGAATCTCTTTTCGTATGAGCTCTGTTGGTTGAAATTCTATGTATATTTGGATTCACCTTGTGATTCTGGTTGAGATGACACCAAAATGGAGATCCGCCGTTCCGATCCGTTGAATTTTTGATTCGAAACTATGGTGAATAGTGTCGCGTTGGATGAAAGAAGAAGAGGATGTTTTTTTTTCTTTTCTGATTTGTATTTTCCTTTTATTTTTATTTTTTTATTATTTTTTTATGTTAATTTTTCTTTGGATTTGGGCCGTGTGGCCTTTTTAATATCATCACCATTTTTCTTTTACTTTAAACCTCCCTTTTTTTTAAAAGCTTTTTTTCTAATATTTGTTTTTCTTTTGAAATAATTTCTTAAAATAGATTTTGTTTTGGATTTTGAATTTTTGATAAAATCTCATCAATATCAATGGACTTTGAGTGTCGATTTTATCCACCAAGAGAGGTGATTGATATTGATGATGATTTAATCGATTTAAGATTCAAATTGTGATTTCTTTTCATTTTAATTCTCTTTCTTCTTCTTTTTATTTTTGATCGATGAAATCTATGGATCATAGATTGTTGATTATCAAGGTTGTTTAATCTTCATTATTTCAAATCTATGGACGAATAATCATTGAGATAATTCTCCTTACTTTGGAATAGTGATAGATTACCTTTGATTAATTGATTAAAAAATCTTGATTATGATGAGATCACTACCTCTTTTCTTTTTGTGTGGCATGTTTTAGGAGAGTGATTTATATATCATTTCTCTAACATGTATTAACACTAACATTTTATTGACCGGCCTCAGATAGTCGTGGTTTCTACATAAACCCGATTACGATTGCTTAACATAGCGCTAAAGTGTCCCTTAATCGGAAAATGATCATTCGTGGCTCAAACTTACGTTTAAAAGTCCAAATATGTTTAGTTACTTGTCTTAACTCCAATACCTATGAAAATCATTGTTAGGAGGCTTTGATTCTATCAATCCTCTAATGAATTTTCATTAATCTTGGTCTAAGTGCAAGAATTAATCATCATTGATCATATGTTCTAACCACTAACCACTAATTCACTAACAATATCCTTGTTTAATTTTGTTTATATTCTCTTCTTACTCCTTATTTTTTACTTTTATGCTTCCATTTTATCATTTCATACCATATCTTTGTTTATGTTTATGTCATTTTTCTTTTGTCCACTTGGACCATACTTTGTTCAAAACATTAATAAAGGATAAAACATCTAAAAATTTGGTGCTATTAACTTTGTGGTTATACTCTTGGACCATTCTTAGACTTTGGACTTCATGGACATTTTGGACTTAGGATTAGGACTTTCTTCCCTATGCTTGGAGTATTTTGAATCTTAGCCTTTATTTGGCTCGATCATTGGCTTATGCTTTAAATCGGATGGAATTCTTTTTGCTTGCTTTGGAGTGTGCTACAAGTCGGTTAGATCTTTCTTACCTCTAGCTCTTATTTTATTTTTTTAGGATAGTCACTTCATCTCCTCCCCTTCTTAAATTTTCAAAACTTTCTCCCTCTTTCAAAATCTTCTTGGTTTCAAACTTCAAAACCGCTTTCGCAATAAAACCTTGACTTTCGTCAAGTGATTTTTAAACTTTGTTTTTCTTAATAAAAGTCAATTAATGTTAATCATGCTTTGACCAATTTCAAAAGACATAAAAAATACAAAAACTCATCAACTCTTTTTGTGCCTTTATGCACTTTTTCACTTTAAAACTTTTCATAAAGTTTAGACATGATTCATTTCTATAGTTGATATGTAAATCTCCTATTCCCCATATTATTAAGACTTTGACATTTTCCACGTTGATGTTGAGTGATAGTCTTGTTGATAATCCAAGCAAATCCTCCATCTTTATGTGACGCATATGTTGTCTTAATACTCGTGGGTGGATAGTCGCAGTTTTCTCCTTGAAATGACGACTTGTCTTTACATCTAAAATCAATCAAAACCAACAAATTTTTGTCATTTGTACCACGAACTACGGGGTTTTGATTCCATATTGCACTTTATGGGTACGTAGGCATGAGACGATAAGTCTCTCCAAACACAAAAATCTAAAAAAATAATTCTCTTCTCATCTCCCCAATCTCTTTTCAAACAAACCATTTTCAAACCAAAAAGCGTAAATATTTCAAAGGGCTCCTATAGAGTACTATAGACGTTTTGGGTGCTAACACCTTCCCATTGCGTAACCAACCCCCTTACCCCGATCTCTGTCTCGTGTTCTTATTTTAGAACTCTTTGGTTTTGTTCGCTCTTTTTCCTTTCCTTTATTTGGATAAAATAAAAGTGCGGTGGCGACTCTTGTTTTCTTTGAGTTAAGTTAATCAATAACTTACACTCACGATTTTTACCGCTACACTAATATATGAGTTCTGGCCCTTGCAGCACCTTGCTCGTGAAGTATATTGGATTTTTCCCTTCTGGGGTTTCACAAATGAAAGTTGCGCTTACAGCCTTGGTTGCAACGACGAGGTATAGATAAAGGGTCTCCCTGTTGTCTAATATGGAGATAATCGGAGGTTCTGATATGGCTTGCTTTAGGTGGAGGAGGGATTTTTGCATTCCTTCATCCACTCGCAGCCTTGTAGAGGAGTTTGAAAAAGGGAAACGCGTGCTGAGCAGATTTTGTCACTAAACGCAACAGTGGTGTGAGCATCCCATTCAGATATTGAATCAATTTCTTTGAGCTCGGTGTGGGGAATTTGGAGAAGGTTTTGCATTTGTAGGGGTTGGCTTCGATTCCTCGTTTTGTTAGGTAGAAATCGAGGAACTTTCCTGCCTGCACCCGGGACGTGCACTTTTTCAGATTGAAGCGCATCCTATACTTCCTGACCTGTTCGAAGACCTTCTTCAGATGAAGCGTATGGTCGTATTTCTCATGGGATTTAACGATCATGCCGTCCATATAAACTTCAATCATATCCCTACTTCTCCTCAGAAGACTTTGTTCATCATTCTTTGGTAGGTAGCACCAGTGTTTTTCAAGTCGAATGGTATTACGTTATAATAATAGTTTCCCGGTCCAGTCATGAAAGCTTTGTACATTTTATCGGTTTTGGACATGGGTATTTGGTTGTAGCCCGAGTAGGCATCCATGAACGATAATAATTAAAAACCAGCAGAATTATCAACTAATTGGTCTATGTTAGGGAGGGGATAAAGGTCTTTAGGACAGACCCTATTAAGATCAGTATAGTCAACACACATTCTCCATTTTCCATTTGATTTCTTTACAAGTACAACATTGGACAACGAAGTAGTGTACCTGGCTTTCGAAATGAAATTTATCTCTAGAAGATCTTTTACAACTTGCTCGACAGCCTTAGTTTTTTCTGGGGACTGCTTGCGCCTATGTTGGGCTACTGCCCTTACAGTGGAGTCAATGGTGAACTGGCGGCAGGCCACCTCGGGATCCAGCCAAGGCATCTCTGAAGCGCTCCACGCGAACAGGTTAGCATTCTCCTAGAGGAAGACTTTCAGCTGTTTCCTCGCAAGGTCGGGGAGGTCAGTCCCAATCTTCACTCCCTTGTGGGGGTCGTCACTGAGAAGTACTAGCTCGAACTCTCCATCTAGGATTGGTCGCAAAGTATGGTCAGTCTCGCCACTGCTTGTTGATGTTGAAGGGATGCTCAAGCTTGGATAAGGCTCCTTCTTGTTCTTCTTTTGGTCTCGCATCTCGTCTTTGGAGAAACGGTTGTCAAGGTCGATAGAGTTGATGCAGGGCAGCGGTTTCGCCTCGTCGAGCCTATAGGGCAGGACAGGCATGAAGGATGTCTTTCGTCGAGTGGTGATGGTGCTCAGCCCTTTTAAGGCTACCTCGAAGCACCTCCTTGTTGCTTCTATGTCCCTGTGCAAGGTGGTGACGAGCCCTTTGGAAGTTTACTACTTCATCTTCAGGTGCACCGTGGATGG